CCCCTCCCTCAGGCCCGCCCGGGAGGAGCCGGGAATTCGGGGACACCACCACCCCCTCCCCCCCTTCCCAAAATCCCGGAAGGATTTAGGACCCCCCCCCCCGCCCCTCCCGGCCGGAAGCGGGGGCGGCCCCAGCGCGAACAAGGAGCCCCTTGTTGACCCCAAATTCCTGGAGGGGAGGAAGGGGAGGGCGCGCGGGGACGGCCCTGGGATGACCCCTCCCCTCCCCCCTCACTCCCCCACTCCCACCTGGTGGTCCCGAACGTGCGGACCCCCCCCAAAAAACCCCCAAATCCCCCAGGTGATGTGCGAGGGGGGAAGGGGCGGGGTCGGGCACCTGTAGGGAAATGAAGGGGGGGGAAACCGGGACTGCCCCTCCCCCCCCCGGCCCGGGACCCCCCCCAGCCCCGGGGGTCCCTCGGCGGGGGCGGGAGGCGCGCAGGGGGTGACGGGGCCGCTCCTCCCCCCCTCCCGGCCCCACCCATCTGTTGGACGTCGCGGACCCTATAGAGACCCCCCCCCCCGGAGACCCCCCCAGGCTGCTGGGGACCATCGGGACCCCTCCCCTAAATCCCTGCCCCTGCCCTCCCTCCCAGAGCCCCCTCAGAGCTCCCAGCCCCACCGAGACTGCCCGGAGCCCCCTCCCCCCACGAGCTGCTGGGTCTTGTGGAGACCCCAAACCGCCCTAAAATCGCCCCAAAACCACCCTAAAATCACCCCCAACCCCTCCCAGAACCCCGCCCCAAAACAGCCTCCAAAACGGCCCTAAAACCGCCCCCAAACGGCACTAAAAAAACCTCCCAAACAGCCCAGAAACCGCCCTAAAACCGCCCCAAAACCTCCTCCAAACCCCCCTAAAAATCCCCCAAAGTGGCCCTAAAACCGCCCCAAAACTGCCCCCAAACCTTCCCAAAAGACCCTCGATCCCCCTCCCCAGGCAGCGCTGGCCCCTCAGAGCCCCCCAGGACCCCCTTCGGAGCCCCCTCCCCACCATGCCAGCCCCTATAGATCCCCTATAGGGCCACCTTCAGCCCCACAGAGCCCCCCGGGCTCAGCTCGCCCTCAATCCCAGCCCCAAACCTTTCCTTTATCTTGGCTGGACCCTATAGAGCCCCAATAGAGCCCCCTGACCCTATAGAACCATCTGTGCCTCCTGTCTCACCTTATAGAGTCCCTATAGAACCACCTGTACCTGCTCTCACCCTATAGAGCCCCTATAGAATCCCCTGACCCACAGAACGACCTGTGCTTCCTGTCTCACCCTATAGGGCCCCTATAGAACCACCTGGGCCTCTGCCCAGCCCCAGAGAGCACCTGGAGCCCCACCCAGCCCCACACAGACGCTCTAGAGACCCTACAGACCCACCTTTACCTGCGCTCAGTCCTATGGAGATCCTATAGATCCACCTATACCTGTGCCCGGGCCCTATAGATCCATCTTTACCCCCTTACCCCATATAAACACCACACAGACCCTGCCCCTAAAAGTCTCCAGACCCCAAATAAACCCCCAGACCCCCTAAACCCCGCCAAATCCCCCCAGACCCACACAGACCCTATAGACCCTCCTCAATCCCAATCCCAGCCCCATATGGACCCTATAGATCCACCGAAACCTCTGCCTATCCCATATAAACACGCAGGAACGCCCCCAGCCCAAATTCCCCCCCTCCTGCATCCCCAGACCCCCAAACAACACCTCCAGACCCCCAAAATCCCCCCAGCCCCGCACAGACCCTATAGACTCTCTTCATTTCCAATCCCAGCCCCATATGGACCCTATAGTTCCACCTAAACCTCTGCCCACCCCATATAAACACCCCAGGAACGCCCCCAGCCCCAATTTTCCCCCTCCCCACTCCCATCTCTCATCTCCCCAAATCCCCCCTCCCGAGCCCCACCTTTTCCCCCCTCCCCACCGCCCCCCGGGACCCCCCCAGAGCCGCTCCTCGCTCTCGGTTCCCCCCAGCCCAGAACCGCCGCGCTCTTTGGGGTCGCCCCTGATATCGGGGACCCCTCGGGGACCCCCAAAATCCGCCCAGAGCCCCCCCCGGGCGGTACCTGCTCCTGCCGCTCCCAGCTCGGGGCTGCGGCTGCCGCGGGGTTGACATAATCCACCCGCAGGCCACGCCCCCCGGCACCGGCCACGCCCACCGCGGCCACGCCCACCGCGGCCACACCCTGGGCGGGGGGCGGCGAGAATGGGACCCCCGAGAGGGGTAAAAGGCGGGTGGGTTTCGGGGGGGGAAGAGACCCCCGAGGGACGCCCATGGGTATTGCGGTCCCAGTTTGGGGGTGTGACCCCATTTGGGGGGAAGAGACCCCCGAGAGGGGTAAAGGGGGTTGGGTTTGGGGTCAGACCCCGTTTTGGGGGGGAAAGACCCCCGAGGAGGGGTCCCGGATTTGGGGGTGAGATCATATTTGGGGATAAAAGACTCCCGAGGGGGAAGATGGGGGGAATGAGTTTGGGGCTGAGACCCCATTTGGGTAAGAGACCCTCAAGTGGGGTATTGGGGTCCTGGATTTAGGGGAGGGACCGCCGAGAGGGGTAAGGGGGATGAGTTTGGGGTTGAGACCCCATTTGGGGGGAGGAAAGAGACCCCCGAGGGTCCCCCCCCGGTATTGGGATCCCTGATTTGGGGGGAAAGGGAACCCTGGGGGGGGGGGGGGGGGGGGCCCCCCCGGGGATTTTGGGGGCCCCCTTTTGGGGGGGGGGGGGGGGGGGGGGGGGTTGAGCCCCCCGGGATATTTGGGTGTCCCGATTTGGGGGGGGGGGGGGGGGGCTGAGACCCCATTTTGGGGGGAAAAGACCCCCAAGGGGAGGAAGGGGGGGGTTGAATCCCCCCCAGGATATTTGGGATCTTTATTTGGAGAGGGAGGAAGAAACCCCAAATGTTTGAGACTCCCCCCTCCCAAAATCCTGAGACCCACCCGCCCAAGTGGGGCTGAGCCCCTCTCCCCAATTTATTGGGGTCACCTTAGAGAGAAGAAACCCCCAAAATTTTCCCGAGGAGAGGGGGATGGGACACCCACCCCCCCTTATTTGGGGCCCCTCGCAGCGTGTGGGGAAGAAGAGGGGGGGGTTTGGAGCTTTGCCCCCTCCCCGCCCCATTCCCGGCAATTACGGCCTTGGAATTTCGGGAAAATTCGGGAAACGCTGGGAAATTCCGGGAATTCCCCCCCCACTCCCCCACCCACACCCCTTCCCAAGGGCGCCCTCCCCCAAAAATCACCCCAGGACATCTGCCCCCCCCTCCAAATCTCCACCCCCCACGGTGACGTCATTGAGAGGCGGGTCTGACGTCATCATCCCCTCAAAACAAGAGGAAACCTCCCCAGATTTATTGGAAACTTTGGGAATTTGGGGGTTCCTCCCCCCTCAGGAAAGGCAGGACACGCACACCCCCTCCACACCCCCAATTTGGGGGGACGCTTTTATTGGGGTACAGGGGAAGATCTGGGGACCTCCCCAGCACAAATCAACCCCAAACCTCACAATTTTGGGGTCTCCCCACTCTTCCCCCACCCCCCAAATCTGGGGGAACCGTTCCCTTTTAGGGTGCTCCTCACCCCACCCCAAAAATTTGGGACGAGGGGGAATTTTAGGGGTGTCCCACCCTCCTCCCCCAGGTGCTGGGGGGGGTTGTTTTTGGGGTGGATTTTTAAAGTTTTTTTGGAATTTTTTAGGGTAGTTTTTTGGGGTTTTTTGGCTTTTTTAGGGTAATTTTCTACCGGTTTTTACGGGACTTTTTGGGGTTTTTTGAGATTTTTTTGGGGACTTGTGGGGGCTTTTTTAGAGTAATTTTTAAGGGGTTTTAGGAGGTTTTTTTGGGACGGTGTTTCGGGATTTTTTGGAGTTTTTTTTAGGCCTGGATGCTGCTCTTGGTGCTGAAGGCCAGGTAATAAACCACGAGCCCGATGGCAGCTGCCACCACCTCCGTAGACACCCAGGGCCCGTTCCAGGCACCCTGTGGAGAATTTGGGGGTCACCAGAGCACCCCAAAACCGCCCCAGACCCTTTCCCCCCATCCCCAAAATCTCCCAAACCCCACCCCAGTATCTCGGTGTAATTAAAATTCCCAAAATTTCACCCCAAGAAAGGAGACGCTGAAAATCTCAGCTCTGGGACACCCCAAAATGTCATTGGGACCCCCCCCAAAATCCCAGTGGGACCTCCCACCCCAAAAATCCTGGGATATCCCAAAATCCCAGTTTAGTTTCTTAAAAGTCCCCGGACATCCCAAAATTTTGGGGTGTCATTGCCCCAAAATGTCAGAGTCACCCCTTTAAAAAACTTTGGGAAATCCGAAAGTCTCAGTGAGGCAGCTGCCATAAAAAAATGGGGGCACCCCAAAATTCCAGCGGCACCATGGGACACCCCAAAAACTTAGGGATGTGCCAAATTTCTGCTGTCACCCCCATTAAAAAAAAACCCCTGAGATACCCCAAAAACCCGGGGCACCCCAAAATCTGAGTGTCACCCTCCCAAAAAAATCCCTAGGCCACCCCAAATTCACCTCTCAGAGCCACCCCAGGACCCTTCAGCACCCCCAAATCCCCACGTGGCCCTTCCAGCCCTCCCAAACTCGGTGGGGGACCCCCCAAACCCCCCCAAATTTGGGGGATCCACACAAAATCCCCCCCCGGACCCACCCGGTGATCGACGTTGACGGTGAAGAGCGGCCGGATCCGTGACACGTCCTCGTTGTTCCTCTGGGCCTGGGGGTTCAGGGGGGGGAGTTGGGGGGTTCAGGGGGGTTTGGCGGGGTCCTGAGAGCCCCCCAGAATTTGGGGAGGGGTCCTCACCTTGCGCAGGGCGCTGTAGGATTCCTCATCAAAGAATTTCACCTCGTAAGTTCCCGACTGGGCCTGGCGGTGCTCCAGGCTCCAGGATACCTGAGGGGGGGACAAGGGGGGGGTTGGGATCTCTGGGACCCCTCCCCAAATTCATCTGAGACCCCCAAATCTCTCCTGAGATCCCCAGAGCTGCTCGAAGTCCCCCCAAACTCACCTGAGCCACCCCAGACTCTCCCAAATCACCTGAGTCCCCCAAAACAACCCCCCAGCCCCTCAAAATCCCTTCAAACCCACCTGAGCCCTCCAGAACAACCCCCCCAGCCTCACCTGGTACCTGCCCACGTCCTGCCCGCGGGTCACCGGGAACTGCTTCCCGTTCACATCGGCGTAAAGAGCCACGTTCTGCGGGGGAGGGGGCGATCAGGGGGGGTCTCTCACACCCCCTCTCCACTCCCAAACCCCGCGGGGGTGTCACCTGGGCGCCGTTTTTGCAGACCAGGGAAATCTCCACCACGAAGACGCTCTCGGAGGCGATGACGGCGTCCGAGGTGGTGTAATAGGAGGGGACGATGGTGGGCTCGGGGCACGGCTCACCTGGGCAGGGGGCGGCAGGGACCCCCCTCAGCACCCGCGCAGCGACCCCCCTAACCAAGGGACCCCCCCCAGTATCTTCGAGACCCTGCTTAAAAATCTCAGCTGAGCCCCCTAAAACTGTCCCAGGTCATCTCAGGGACCCTCACTCACCTGAGTCTCCCCAAATCCCCACCTGAGCCGCCCATAGACCGCCAATGCCCCGGGACCCCCAGTGGCAGCCCAGACCCTCACAGGACGCCTCACGGACCTCATTGGTTCCGGGACCCCCTCACGGGACCCTGATTTCCCCTCATGGGATCCCGGGTCCCCTCACGGATTTCAGCGGCCTCGGGATCCCCTCACGGGACCCGCAGTCCCCTCCTTCCCCTCACGGCCCTCGACCCCCGCAACCCTCACACACCCTAGAACCCCTCAGAGCCCTCACGACCCCCGGGTTTCCCTCAGAAATTCCCGTTCCCGCTCACAGGACCCCGATTTCCGCCCTACCCGCGGCGCCGCTCGCCGCCAGCAGCAGCAGCAGCAGCGGGAGCACCCCAGCACCCGCCATGATCGGCCGCACGAACCCGCCCTCTAGCCACTCCCCCGGGGAGAACAGCCAATCAGCGCCGGCAACTCCTCCGCGCTCACCAATCAGAGTGCGAGGGGCGGACACGTGCGCGTCTGTTGACCAATGAGAAGAGAGCGCACCGCCCAGCCCGCACGCAACGTGGCCTGCGGTGAAGACAAGGGTGTGGCTAAGACACGCCAGGGGTGTGGCCAAGGTGAGGCACATGCGCAATGAGACGCCCACGCGATTAAAATGGCAGCCGCCCCACCTGCGGGAGGCGGAGCTGGGGTCATATTCATGCGCAAGCGCACTCTGACGTTGCCATAGCGACGACTGAGGGGCGGTGGCCGCAGCTCTCTCCCCCGTTATCAGTTGCAGTTTCTTTCGCCCTCAAAACGAAGCACGGTTGGGGAAAGGGCTCCGCGCTCGGGTATCGCCGTTCCAGGACAGAACGGTGTGGGCGGAGCTGCCTTTCTCTCCTGTCGCCGTGAGGCCTCATGCCACCGCCCCTCCCAGGCACAAAATGGCCGCAGCGGGGTGAGGGCGTGGTAGCTAGGCGGGAGGGGTGGGGCGGGAACTCTCGCGAGAATTCGAGCTTATCGCTCTATCTCGTCGTGTGGGTGGTGCCGATATCTCGCGAGAGCTCGCACCGTCGGAGAGAGCATCATGGCGGCGGCGTTGACGGCGGCGCGACGGCGCCTGGTGCGGGCCGCGCTTCGGCCGCGTGCGGTGAGTGACCAACCGGAACCCGGTCCGCCACCTACCGGGCTTCGCCCCCCACCGGTTCCCGCCGGTTCCCGCCGCACCGGCGGCTTGTGATTGGCTAGCCCACCCGTGGGGGCCGCCTGGAGGGCAGCGGCCCGGAAGTGGCGGACCGGACTCTGATTGGCTTCGCTGGGGGTGTGGCACGTTTTTGCGTGTTCTGATTGGCTGAAACTCGCGGAGTAGGTGGGAAGGGCAGCGCCTCGCGTTGTGATTGGCTGATATTTCTGGGGGGCGGCGCCTGGGCTGAACCATTGGTGGCGGCCGGAAGGAGTTTTGGGATGTCCTGGGGCTCAGCCCCATACAAAGTTTAATTAACTTTTTTTTTAATTAATGAGGTGTTTATGGAAGGGTCCTGAGCTATAGGGGGGGTTTGATCTCTGGTGCAGTTTTGAGAAGGGGGCTTTGGAACCTTTTGGGGGGTCCCGGTTCCTTTAGGGGTCCCCCATCCCTTAGGGTTCCCCTCCCATTGCAGGTGTGGATCGCACAGGCCGGGATTTCCCATGATGCCGAGCGGCTCCACCTCCCCCCCGTGAGTGCCCCTCCCCACCCCCCCCCAAAACCCCTCCCACACCTGGGGGGGGTCACAGGTACCCCCTGACCTGGGGCAGAGACCCCTAACCCATTCTCCCCATTTTGGCGGGGACCCCTGCACTCGGGATGGCTCCAAACCCCAAATTTTGGGGTTGGGGGGGGTTCCTGGTGGGGGTTCAGGGGGGATTTTGGGGGGGTCGCGCTCTGTTTTTCACTGACTTCCCCGTTCTCCCCCTCCCACAGCAACGCAGCATCGTGAGTACCCCAAGAATCTCCTGGGGATCCAAAAACCTCCTAGGGGGCCCAAAAATCACCGAGGGGCCCCAAAAAACAATGGGGGGAGGGGGAACAAAAGCATTGGAGGGGCCCCAAAATCACCTTGGAGGGCCCTAAAAGCACCTGGGGGGATCCAAAATTCACCAGGGTGGGGCCCAGAAAGAATTGGGGTCCCGAAAATTCCCAACGGGGGCATCAAAATGCTCTTGGGAGCCCAAAAATCACTGGGAGGGTCCCAAAATCACCAGGGGGGGCCCAAAATGCACTTGGGGGGTGGCCCAAAAATCACCAGGAAGGACGCCAAAAATCACTGGGAGGGACCCAAAAAATCACCAGGGAATCCCAAAAATCACTGGGGTTGGGCCCCGAACGCAGCTGGGGGGGCCCCAAAACCCTTCAGAATTTTGGGAATTTTTTGGAAAAGGAGGGGTGGGGGCCCCAAATGTGGGTGTCCCCACAGCCCCCCCCAGCCAAGTACGGGGGCCGGCACACGGTGACGCTGATCCCCGGCGATGGCATCGGCCCCGAGTTGATGCTGCACGTCAAGGAGGTCTTCAGGTGGGTGCCCCCCCCATTTTTTGGGGTCCCCCCCACCCCTAAAATGTGCAAACGAATCCAAAAAACTGTAAATTGATCTTTTGAGTATGCAAGTGAACCCTAAAAAAAGTAAATCGTTGCCTAAAGTGTGCAAATGGACCCCAGAAAATGTAAATTGATTCCTAAATATGCAAGTGAATCCCTAAAACATAGAAATCGACCCCAAAACATTCAAATCAACCCCCAAAGTATGTAAATGAGCTCTTAAAATATGCAAATGAGTCCCCAAAACTGTGCAAGATAACCCTTAAATCATAGAAATCAATCCCAAAATATGCAAATGATCCCCAAATATGCAGATGATCCCTGTTTTGAGTGTCCCCAAGGTGTCCCTGCTGTCCCCCAGGCACGCCTGTGTCCCCGTGGATTTCGAGGAGGTTCGGGTGAGCTCGGAGGCGCCCGAGGACGACGTGCAGAACGCGATCACGGCCATCCGGCGCAACGGCGTGGCACTCAAAGGTCGGGGGGGATCCCAAAAACCCCACATCCCCTCAAATCCACCCCAAAATGTCATCAAAACCACCCCAATCCCCTCAAAAAACCCCTCATTCCCCTCAAAACCACTTCAATCTCCTCAAAAACCCCCAAATTCCCTCAAATCCACCCTCAATCGCTTCAAAGGAACCCCAAAATCCCCTCAAAAATCCCCAAAATCCCCTCAAAGAACCCAAAATGTCATCAAAACTGTTTTAAATCTCATCAAATCACCCCCAGAATGTCATCAAATTCACCCCAATCCCATACAAAAACCCCAAAATGTCATCAAAACTACCTAAAATGTAATCAAATCGCCCCCAAATCTCATCAAATCACCCTAAATGTCATCAAACCACCCCAAATTTCATCAAAACTACCCAAAATATCATTAAATCCACCAAAATCTCATCTAATCACCCCAAAATATCAAATCAACCAAAAGGTCACCAAAACTACCCAAAATCTCTTCAAATCTCCCCCAGAATCTCCTCAAAACCGCCCAAATCCACTCAAATCAACGGAAAGTTCATCAAATCCCCCCCCAAATCCTCTCAAAACCATCCCAAATCTCCGCAAATCCCTGAACACCTCCTCAAAAACCCCCCAAAATTTCCACAAGAAACCCCCCAAATCCTCTCAGAAAAACCCCAAATCCCCCCCAAAAAAACCCAAATCCCGCCCCCATCCTGTCCTGACCCCACTGCGGTTTTATTTTGGGTCCTTCAGGGAACATCGAGACCAATCACAACCTCCCCCCGAGCCACAAATCCCGGAACAACCTCATCCGGTGAGCACTGGGAGCACTGGGAGGGTGTTGGGGGGGTTAATTGGCATGTTGAGGGCTTGATTTGCATACTTTTGGGGTTGATTTGCATATTCTGGGGTACTGTTTTTGGGAGCTTGATTTGCATATTTTTGGGGCTGGTCTTGCGTATTTCGGGGTTCATTTGCATATTTTGGGGTTGGTTTCACGTCTTGGGGGTTGATTTACGTGTTGGGGGTGGTTCGTTCGAAAATTTTAGGGGTTCATTTGCGTTTTTGTGGGCTCATTTGCATTTTTTGGGGTTCACTTGCATATTCTGGTGTTCATTTGCATATTTTGGGGCTGATTTTGCGTATTTTGGGGCTCACTTGTGTATTTCTGGATTCTTTTGTGTATTTGGTGTATTAATTTGCATATTTCGGGGTTCATTTGCATCTTTTGGGGCTGATTTTCGTGGTGTTTTGGGCTGTGCCAGGACCAGCCTGGATCTCTACGCCAACGTGATTCACTGCCAGAGCCTGCCCGGGGTGGAGACGCGGCACCGCGACATCGACATCCTCATCGTCAGGGAGAACACGGAGGGCGAGTACAGCTCCCTGGAGCACGAGGTGGGCGCCAGAAACACCCAGAAACAGGGAAACAGCCGAAATGACAGAAAATACAAAGTCACACTAAATACACCCAAAATCACGCTAAATACACCTAAAAAGGGGCAAAATCACACAAAATACACCCAAAACCCCACAACGTACGCCCAAAACCAGACAAAATGCACGCAAAATCACACAAGACCTCCACAAAAATCACAGCAAATCTCCCCAAAACCACCCCAAATCCCCCAGAAAAGCAAAATCACTGAGACCAGGAGGCCACGCCCCCATCACGTCCCCGAGCTGCCCCGCCCCCGTTGCCGATGCCCCGCCCCTCTCCCCGGCAGAGCGTGGCCGGGGTCGTGGAGAGCCTCAAGATCATCACGGCCGGGCGCTCCCGCCGCATCGCTCACTACGCCTTCGGGCTGGCCCGCGCCGCCGCCCGGCGCAGCGTCACCGCCGTGCACAAAGCCAACATCATGTACGGGGCTCCGGCATGGGGTCCTCGGGGGGGTTGGGGGATCCTGGGAGGGGTCTGGGGGGTCCTGGGAGGGGTTTTGGAGGATCCTTGGGGGGTTTTGGGGGTCTTGAGGGGTGTTTGAGGGGGTCCTGGCAGAGGTTAGGTGTGTGTGTGTGGAGGGTCCTGGAGGGTTTTGGGGGATCCTTGGGAGGCTGGGGCGTTTTGGGGGGTCCTAGGGGGGTTTATGGGGTCTCGGGAGGGTTGAGGGGTCCTGTGTGGGGCTTTGGTTGTTCTGGGAGGAGTCTGGGGAGTTCTGGGGGAGTTTGGAGGGTCCTGGGAGTCCTGAACTCCAAAGGAAGGTGGGGGAGGGGCTGTTCCTGCAGTGCTGGGGGGATCTCAGGGGAGATCCCAGGTTTTTTGGGGGGGTATCCCGGGTATTTTTGGGGTCTCACCCCCCTGCCCCCCCAGGAAGTTGGGGGACGGGCTGTTCCTGCAGTGCTGCCAGGAAGTGGCGGCCGAGTACCCCGAGATCACGTTCCGCAGCATGATCGTGGACAACACCACCATGCAGGTCTGTCCCTCCCCCAAACCGCCCCCAATCCCCCCCTCCCAGTGCTCCCAGTAACCCCAGTACCCCCCGTGGCCAGCTGGTGTCCCGGCCCCAGCAGTTTGACGTGATGGTGATGCCGAATCTCTACGGGAACATCGTCAACAACGTCTGCGCCGGGCTCGTGGGGGGCCCGGGGCTCGTGCCCGGCGCCAACTACGGCCACGACTACGCCGTGTTCGAGACCGTGGGTCTGGGGGGGAGTCTGGGGGGTCCGGGGGGTTGGGATATGGGGATGGCCAATATGGGGTCACTGGGAGAGACTGGGATGGACTGGGAGCACTGGGAGGATCTGGGCTTGTGCCCAGTGACAACTATGGCCGTGACTGCGCCGTGTTTGAGACCGTGGGTCTAGGGGGTCTGGGGGGGTTCGGGGGGTGTGGGATATGGGGATGGCCAATATGGGGTCACTGGGATGGACTGAGAGCACTGGGGGATCTGGGCTGGTGCCCAGTGTCAACTACGGCCACGACTATGCCATGTTTGAAACTCTGGGTTTGGGGGATCCTGGGGGGGCTCTGGGGGGTCTGGGATATGGGGATGGGCACCATGGGGTCACTGGGAGCACTGGGGGGGGTCCCTGGGAGCATTGGGGAGTCACTGGGGGGTCCTGAGGGCCGTGCCCCCCCAGGCCACGCGGAACACGGGTAAGAGCATCGCCAACCGCAACATCGCCAACCCCACGGCAGCGCTGCTGGCGGCATGCATGATGCTGGATCACCTGCGGTGGGCGGGGTCACCTGGGAGGGGCTGGGGAACACCTGGGGAGGGGGTGGGAGGACGTGGGAATACCTGGGCAGGGGTGGAGAGGAGCTAGGGCATACCTGGGAGAGGGTGGGGAACACCTGGGGAACACCTGTGAGGTGCGGGGCACACCTGAGAGGGAGTGGTGACAACCTGGAAGAGGCTGGAAAACACCTGGGGGGCCTGGGAACACCTGGGGAGGGGGTGAAAACATCTGGGAAGGGCTGGGCACATCTGGGGATGGATGGGGCACACCTGGGAGGGGCAGGACACACCTGGGAGGTGTTGGATCCCCAAAAAGAGGTCGGACTTTTAAAGGGGGTGTGGCTTCCCCAGTGGGCGGGGCTGAAGTGGGTGTGGCTTAGGAAGGTGGTGGGGCAGAATCTCTGGGTGCTCACCTGGGGGGTGTGGCTCACGCTTGCCCCTCCCCCAGGCTGCACAGCCACGCCTCCACCATCCGCCAGGCCGTGCTGGCCTCGCTAGACGACCCCCGGGTAAGCCCCGCCCCTCACCTGTCCCAAATGTGTGGTCCCACCCCCCTGTGGGCGTGGCCCTGACCTGGCCCCGCCCTCCCCAGACGCACACGCCGGACATTGGTGGCCAGGGCACGACCTCGGGCGCTGTCCAGAGCATCATCTCCCACCTGGCCCGGGCCTGAGCCGAACACTGCACCCCAAATTGGGACCCCTGAATGCTCCAGGAGCCCCCTGGGACCCCAAAACACCTCCAGGACCACCCTCCAGACACCCCCGGGACCCCAAGACGTCTCTGGGACACCCACAGGACCCCTCAGGACCACACGACACCTTCAGGACTCTAAAACACCTCCAGGACACCCCTGGAACCTCAAAACACCCCCAGGACCCCCCACCAGACAGACCCCCAAACATCTCTGGGACACCCTCAGGACCACACACGACACCCCTGGGACCCCAAAACACCCCTACACCACCCACTAGACACCGTAGAACCCCAAAACCTCTCTGCGACACCCCCAGGACTCCTCAGGACCACCTACAAGACACCCCTGGGACCCCAAAACACCCCCAGGACCATCAGGACCACGATGCACCCCAAGGGACCCCAATGCACTTTAGGACCTCAAAACTCCTCTGGGACCCCCAAGGACACCCCAAGGAGCATTTCAGGACCACACAGAAACACCCCCTGGACCACAGTGCACCCCCAGGACATCCTTAGGGACCCCCTAGGACCACACAACAACCCCCCCATGGAACCCCAAAACATTCCCAGGGCCATAGTGCACCCCCAGGATCATGCACAAAACCCCCAAGGGACCCCAAAACGCCCCCAGGACCACCCCTAGGACCACACAAAACCCCCAAGGGACCCCAAAACATCCCCAAGCTCCCCCCAGGACCGTGCACAAAACCCGCATGAGACCCCAAAAACACCTCCAGGACCCCTCAAGACCCCAAAACATTTCTAGGACTCCACTAGGACCACAATGCACCCCCAGAACCACGCACAAAACACCCCTGGGACCCCAAAATATCTCTTGGACCGCCCCAATACCCCAAAACATTTCTGGGACACCCCCAGGACCCCCTTGGACACCCCCAGGACCCCCTTGGACACCTCCAGGACCCCAAAATACCCCCAGGACCCCTTAGGACACCCCCAGGACCCCACACAAGACACTCCAGGACCCTTCCTCAGTGCAGGGTCCCACCACCTCAGTCCCCCCATCCCCCAGAGCATCCCAATAAACACCCAGGGAGCCCCGCCCCGTGCCCGTGGTTTATTGAGGCTGGGGTCGGTGCCCGGGGCGGATCCTGGGGCGGTGCCGGGGGCGTTCCCGGCCGCGGTGCCGGGGCAGCCCCGGGAGCGGTTCCGGGGGCGGGACACGATGGCGGCGTGCCCGGTGCTGGAGCGGTCCGTGCTGGAGCCGGGCAGCGGCCGGGGCGAGGAGCAGCAGAGCGGGAGCGGCGGGCGGGCGCGCGCTGCCCCCGTACCCCCGGTGTTCCTGTGCGCGGGCTGCCGCGGCCCGGGCGTGACACCTCGAGCCGGGCGGGCAGTGCCATGGAGGGCGGCTGCATCCTGCGACCCCGGCGCGTCCCCGCGGTCAATGCCGCCATCCCTCCCTCCCGCTGCAGGTGCGGCTGCCAGCGTCGCCGTGCACACAGAGCACAAGGTCTCTGAGCTCCTCGGCGAGTGCAGATGGTGAGGACCGGTCCTGACTGAGCACAGTCCCGGGACAGCCGGGGCTTCCCAGGGAAGGCGCTGAGGACAAGCCCAGTAAAGGGCCCAGCCAGAGTGCTTGTGTGCCCCCCCGGAGGCCCTGGAACACATTCCGCATATGGGATTATGCAGAGGGATTTCTCACAAGGACATGTCCCGATAGACAAGTGGAATGGCCTTAGGATGAAGGAAAGCAGGTTTAGATTAAATAATCAGGAAGCAAGTGTTCCTTGGCAGGGTGGGGAGGCCCTGGCACAGGGTGCCCAGAGAAGCTCTGGCTGCTCCTGGATCCCTGGAAGTGTGCAAAGCCAGGCTGGTCACTGGGGCTTGGAGCAATGTGGGATAGTGGAAGGTGTCCCTGCCCAGGGCAGGGGGTGGCACTGGATGAGCTTGAAGATCCCTTCCACAGTTTAGTGATTCTGAAGTTCTTGCCGAGGTCCATCAGCCTGAGGAGCTGTTGTAAATTCAGGCTGAAAGATGAGCGCTCATAATTTACACTGTGTAAAGCAAGAATGAATGCTTAAAAGAATTCTAATGCCTGATTTTTAATTTTTTTTTAAGAAAAGGGTTGGGGAGGGGTGCTTCCTTTAATTTTCTTCTGAATAAATGTTATTTCTTACTTACAGCTTGGTAGAAACCTTATTCTGCTCTGGCTGCTCAAGGACACTTGGCAGCATCTACAGGTGTACCTCAAGGCATCTCGAGTAGAAGAGAGATTTGTTCTGTTTCAGTGTTGGCTCTGTTGAAAGGTAAGTGTAGACTGTTTATGGGTCAGGCTGCTTCCCATGGTGGCAATAAAGGGTCAAAGCAGTGACTGAACCGCTTCTGCTGTGTGTCCAGTACTTGCACCGGGAAAACTGGGAGCACTGGCAGGGACACTGGAAGAACTGTGAGGGAAGTGGGAACATTGGAAGGCACGCTGGGAGGAAACTAGGGACACAGGGAGGACACTGGGACTCCTGGGAGTGATCCTGCCATTGAGAAGGACACAAAAATGTCAAAGTCATCCCAGTGCTGCAGGATACTCCAGAAACCATGAAGACACGAAACAGGGCCCCCTGGGACCATCCAGGACCACTCCAAGGGCAAGCAGAGTTCTAGGTGGTGCCAGCTTTGGTCTGGGAGAAATCCTGCGTCAATTGGAATTTTAGCAGGCAGAAGCCCAGTTCCTGGAACAGGGACCTGTACACAAACTGAGGTCCTTTTCCCTGTAAAACAAAATTGACCCTCCCAATTTCCTGATGTCAGTTTGGAGGAGGCAGCTGGCACTCAAACAGCGGGCTAGGTTTGTAAACGGTGGCAGGATCCTGATACATCACTCTGTGCTCGATTGCTCCTGCCCAGATCCATCTCTCGGTGCTCAATTGCTCCTGCCTTCATCCCTTAATTGGCGTTCGATTGCTAATGCCTGCCGATCGATTAGATCGGCGATCGATTGCTCATGCCTGCCGATCGATCATATCGGCGATCGATTGATCGCGGCTGCCGATCGATTAGATCGGCGATCGATTGCTCATGCCTGCCGATCGATCATATCGGCGATCGATTGATCGCGGCTGCCGATCGATTATATCGGCGATCGATTG